GCTTCTTTGTACAAAACACTTTTACTTGATGAAAGTAACCACTGAAGCTGTTACCTTTCTGAGCTTATAAACATGAAAAAAACCCCCAAAACAAGCAAAGGATGTGGCAGTGACACACTGTAAAAAAATACACACCTGGGTGGTGTTCAGGGCCACCTAAAGGGGGTTCAGTTCTCCATCAGCTTCCAGCAGTGCCACTGAGTGTGGACAGTCTTGGCATCCCTTCAGCAAACCAGGTGAGCTCCAAACCTGCCTCCCCTACAGCCAGTCCTCAGCAGAGTGGATGACTTAGCCTGGGGCTAAATTGTGTCTTGCTTAGATTGTAACCCAGTTGCCTGACTGTCAGTGTGTTTGGCCCATCTCTGCCCAGGAGGATGGACCAGACGATCTCCAGCCGTCCCTCCAGCCTTGGCCCTGCCCTGCCCTGCCCTGCCCTGCCCTGCCCTGCCCTGCCTGCTGGCTCTGGGCTCCCCAGGCGGGGCCTCAGGAAGCCCTGGTTGGCCAACAGCCTTTAGACAGCTGTGGATGGTGGGTTGTGCCAAATCCCATGATTTTTTTTAGGAAAACAGCTGGGGAGCACACAGGTGCTCCTGTCAGCTGGCAAACAGAAGGTGGGATGTCTCTTCACAAGTGAGTATACTCTGATATTTCCAAAATGAACAGCTGGATTGATATGAAAATGTATCTCTGTTGCTGGTCGATTTGTCAGGCCTGCTGTGATTTTGACGGACCAAGGGATTCCAAAGGCATTTTTACCCTGCCCCACACTGTTTAGTCAGGCTCACAGTTTTGAGTGGTCATGAAAAGTGCTGCTGCAGGCCAGAAATTTTTTAAACAGCGTGGGAGACAAATTTCTAATCAAAATGAGGCAGTTGAAATTGGGCTGTCAAAAGTGATTAAGGCTGGGGAGTTTATTTACTTGCCTCCTCCCCAGCAGGAAGAAGACAGTGGTTAACTTGTATTCTGCTGACCAGAAATTTCTGACCTCTGATGAATGTTTTCTATGTCAAACATTCAGACACATAAAACCTAAAAGTATGGGAAAATTTTTTTTAGTGCTTGATATTCTCAGACTATGAAACAGGGAGCGAATGAGGGGCAGATGCTGTGGGTTGGAAGATAAGCCAAGGCTGTGGCTTGTTTGCTTCTTCTCAAGCTCTGTCCCTTTTGTTCTGGGCAGCCCCCTCTCTTCTCCCTCCAGCCCCTTCTCTCTTCAGCACACACACAGCCAGCACAGGATCCCCAGTGCTCACCCCTCTGCCCCAGGCAGGGCAGGGTGGGCACCAGGCTGAACTGGCAGCTCTTGACCCAGCAGAGCCAGGAGGTGCTGCTGTGCATCACTACCTGCAATCCCAGCCTCTGGAATTAAAGGCTGGCAGCACTGAAGGCATACCCATTTCAGTGGCTGAATGTCTGTGAAGACCTTTCCTGCTTATCCTGTTCCTAACAATACATGGGTTTTCTTCAAACCCTGTTAGTTAACTATAATTTGGTGTATAATGAGCCATATCAGACGGTTTGGGCTGAGCCAATGCAGGGATCAAGGGACTTTATGCCTTGAGGGACTTAGTGAGCAGTAGGATTTCACTAAGGAAGTATCACAGGATGCCTCTTCCTGCAGCAGTTCCCAGGGGCTTTCTGCAGAGACAGGTGGTGTAAGACTGGGAGAAGAAGGCAACTCTTTAATATTCAAGGCTGTAGTTGGACTGAAAATGTACTGAGTAAAGTCACTGCTCAGCCAACTTCTGAGGAATTTATGAGAGCACAACTCAGTTTCAGAAGAGTGCAGATTGCTGCACCCACAGGATTAAGGAATGTCTTTCACAAAAGCAGGCAAACTGCTGAAATCCTTTAATTAAAATAAATATTTTTCTTTTCCCTATTGAGACAAATCTTCCTCCACCAGCTAAAATCCATCTTGTAAGTGGCAATTGATTAATATATCGGTGAAGGATTTATTAGTATGTTTCTTAAAGCCTGTTGAAATATTTCTTTTTCCTGTCGTACATCTTCACAGTATTACTCAAATCTGCAAAGGCAACTCTTAATAACACAGGGCAAGCCCCAACAACAGAACATAGCACTTGTGAAAGTCAGAGAAGGGAAGCAGTAGGAAGTAATACTATGATCTTTAGGCTTAATCCTGCACACCCAGAAGAGCCTGTGCCCGCAAGAATTCTGTATTTCTCAAGCATTAGACTTCAGATGTTGGGTGTTACCCAATATTTCTGTTTGTAAAAGCAGTCTTTAAAATGTTTGAACCCTGCCTTCGAGGTGAAACTGGAGCAAATGTCAGTTCTCTCCTATCACTAACTGATCTACATTTAAACTATCCCAGCCTGGCTTTGTTTTGGAAATGGTAGTGCCTTTAATGGTGCCCAAACATGAGAAATGCAGTATGAGAACTGTATTGTTTCGACTAGAAGCCACAGTCTCTTGCATTTTCCCCCACTTTGTGTGTGAACATAATCTTTGTCACGGCAAATGTGATAATCTACCTCACTGAGAGTAAACTGTGAATTGCTGCACAGCCTGGCAGGGTGAGAACAACTTGTGACACTGAGGTGCCACGCTCTGGTTTCCTACTGAGAGCTGGAAGCAGCAGGATTTCCAAAGCCCTGGCTTGCAGCATCCCTGTAACCTGAAATTACACTCCAGGGAGCTCAGACACTGAGCACAGAATCATGGAATCACAGCATGGTTTGTGTTGGAAGGGACCTTAAAGACCATCTAGTTCCACCCCCCTTGCTGTGGGCAGGGGCACCTTCTACTAGACCATGTTGTTCAGAGCCCCATTCAACTTCCAGGAATGGGGATCCACAACTTCTCTGGGCAACCTGTCCCAGGGCCTCAGCACCCTCACAGGAAAGCATTTCTTCCTAATACCTGATCTAAACCTACTCTCAGTTTGAAGCCATTCCCCCTTGTCCTGTCACTACATGCTGCCTGACAACTGTGTGTTTGAGGACTCAAATCTACCTCCAGCCATCAGAGGGTAGGGCCTATATTCAGACAAAACATGGATTTTGGGATACACTTGACTTCTAGGTGCTGGAGTTCTTTGAAGAGGTGGTTTGTTGGGTGTTACAAGCTCTGCACACTCAGCAGTTGTTGTCTGGGAATTCAGGCATTTGTCTGCTTTGTGGGTTTTGCAGCAATGTCTTGGCAGGGACTGAACCAGTAAGTCACTGTTGTATAGCTCTTCAGTAGTGCCTTGGTTCATCTTTTCACTGGACTGGGAACTGCACATTTTCCATGAGGTCAGATTTTTGGCTCTGGCAATTCAGTACTCCTTTATCCGTGGGGAATCAAACATTGTCGATTTACATCAAAGATGTAATTCCTTACATTTGTGGTTGCTGCAAATGCTGCTCTGTGAACTTCTCCAGAAGACAAACCCAACACAGCCCCTATTAAAAAGGACCTTTGGGAGACTTGTGTGGGAACGGCCCACCCAGGGCTCTGGCTTTGCTAATCTGCTGTGCTTTTGTGGAGCTTTGAGCAGTGTTACCTTCAGGTCTGGTCACGTCGACCTAATCCTTCATCAGTGCTATAAATTGCTGATAAATTTTCTGGCAAAACCTTCTGGCTCCAACATCCCAAGGAAACCTCTGGCTGGAATTGGGCTCTCCCACTACCAGCATGGCAGGGGACAGTTGCCTTTCCAAGCCCAGCTGAGCAGGATTAGCCAGACCACCCTGTCAAGAGGCTCTGTTATCCCATCCTCACCTTCCCTGGCAGACCACAGTCCTGCAGCAGCTGCTGGGGAGAGGCACCTTGCCAGGAATGCCTTGCAGAGAGCAGAGCTGCAAAGCAGCTCATCCATCTCGCTTGGATTACTGTTCCTCTGCTCTCCTTTTCACTGCTCCCTAATGGAGCCATGCTCCTGGGCCGTACAGGGATTTCGGTGCTAACACAAGAGTCTGCTCTACCCTCTTCCCCTAATCATATTTCCTGTTGCAGAACAAACCTGTGTAAGAACATCCACAAGACAAATTATTCCTGTGAAATCTAACCTCTTCCTGATTTCACTGGCCAGCTGGTGCTGGGGAGGACCAACCAGCTGCAGCTGCAGCTCCCTGGAGACCAGTCCTGCGAGCAGGTCCTTCTTCAGCATGATAATAGTTTCTAGGTGGAGAGCCAGCATCTTCCTCAGGACGTGAGGTTTGAGCTCTCAGTGAATCAGCTCCATCCCACCAGTGTCACGTCTGCCTGTAGCTGCTTGAGGCAGATTTTTCCAGCTGCTCTCTGTTGCCCGTCTGAAAGCAACAGTCATCTGGTCAGGACCCTAGTCAAAACATATTTCTCAGGAGAAACAATGGAGTGAGGTTGTTCTTTGGTCAAGGAGCCCCATGCAAACAACAAAATTTCCCAGTGGAAAAAAAGTGTTTTACTTTACAACACTTTTGTTTGTTGGGGTTCTTTTTCCCCCCACAAATAAGGAGGTCCCGCTGTCATCTGGCTATGGAGTTCTGTCTGTGCACAGCTGAGGTGCTGATGTTGGTCCAGGATGTGCAGACCTGCAGCAGTCACCACGTTGCAGGTGATGGGAGCTGGGGGGACCTGCAACCTCCCAGACCAGCCAGGATTGTCAAGGTTTTCCCGTCTGCTCACCCCAGAGCCCCTGCCCAGCCCTCAGACCCCAGAGCCCCCAGTGAGCCCCTTGCTGCCCGGGTTTGCCTGTGGCACTGTCCCTGAGCTGGGGTGCCCAGCACCTCTGGGAGCTGGCCCACAACCAGGCAGGAGTCTGTTGGAAATTCGGTGGAACCACAAAACTCTTCAGTTCGCACTAATCAAGGTTTTCCTGATCAAATTGCACCCTGTGGCAGGAAAATCCCTCACACATCGTTGTGGAGCTGTTTACTACAACCCATGAGTGTAATGTGCTTACTCTGCTCCCTGGGAGGGGATGTCGAGCCAGATGCTTGTGAGCACTGGTGGTTTTCCCTCTTTCTTCATGTGCATTCTGCACACAGAACACTTCCAGGCTGGCTGTTCACATGCAGCTGTTTGAATCTTACTCTCTAGAAACAGGAACATATTCAGGACTTTTTCTTCTGTTTTACTGTTCCAGTTTTTGCTTTTTAAGAGCTAATAAATATTTTGTGTTGTGTGTTACCTGGCTCAAAGGAAAATCCTGATGCCTTGTGGTAAGCCATAACTACTTTATATTTTAATTTTATTTTCTGTGAGTGTGTGTTTGAAACTCAGTGTAGCTGTTCAAGTGTAGTGCAGAATATGGATTGACACGTACCATAATTTCTATATAAATTTGAAAGAGTTTTCCAGCACTTCTTTATTTTTAAGTGGCACTGGTATTTGTGTTCTTGAAATAACTTTGGTCGTATCTGCACAGAGTTCATGGGGATGCTTAAACTATGTATTTTCAAACAAGCATGTGTGTATTTGTGTGTGTGTTTACACCATTGTTGGACCAATGTGTCTCATCCCTTTCCAGCCACATTCTGGCTGTTCTGAAATCCTTCCTGTGGTCATTCCTAATTTAAGTGTCTTATATTTTTTTCTTTCATGGGAAGATTTAAACATCTTTTCATATAATTAACAGTACTTAGGCTTGTCCTAATTCAGCACTGGCTTGCTGATAAGAGCTGTCAGTAGATATCATGGAGGGGCTGTCTGTCCTCCCCAGGCAGTTATTCTGGGTTGAATGTCAAAGATCTGCATGTGTTAGGGAAACCAATAAGATATTTATGTGAGCCATAAAGGGCTGCTGTTTGCATTGGTGATTCCTGGTCACCATATGGGATGGGGAAGGCACAGGAGAGGAGGCCAGTGCTGCTGTCCCCTCACACTCCAGGAAAAAAACACCTGACCCCTGGGAAGATGCTATTTTAAATGCTCTGAGTTGCAGCTCAGGGTTCAGGGACGATTCTGTGATGGTGATTTGGACCTTGCCCTTTCTCCTGCCTGTGCCAGCTGCCCTGCTCGTGCCCTGACCCTCTGGAACTGGCTCCACACCCTGCTCATGGCAGCAAAGGCAGGATTAGACTCTGACTGCGAGGTGCCTCCAGGACTCACCAGCTGAATTGTGCAGGAAGGAGCAGTTCTCCCAGCCAAGAGCACTTCTCCCAGGGGACTTGGCTGTCCTGGTGTCCCTGTGGGATGTGCCTGCTCTGGGTATGCTGGAGCCCAGCAGGGACTGTGGGGGTGATGGATGCTCAGCCCCCAGCAGATTCTGCCCTGCCCACGGCAATGGCAGTGCTGCACCCCCACTGGAGACAGAGGCAGGAGGCAAAAATTAGGAGAGTGGGAATTGCCAGGTCCCCTGGCACCCCAGGTCAGGGCATTCAATGTACAGAATATCTGTCTTTTCTCTTGTTAGTCCCACTGCATGGTGATTGCACCAGAAGACCTCTGCCAACACCTCTGTTAACTCTCCAGTATGAGACATTGGATGGAGTTTAAAGGAGAAGGGAAGGGAAACTTATTTTGCTTATCCCAAGGGCTTAGAGGCTTGAGGAGGAAAAATCACTTTTAAAAGATGAAACAGGAGAAAGCCAGGAGTCTGTCCTTACTTTGGGAATGTGAAGTAAGGCCTGAATGGTGAGATGGAGCATTGGCTCCTTTTGCTGCCTGTGCTGGTGCCATCAGAGGCAGCTGCTCTCTGCACATTGGGGATGCTGCTTTGCCCATCGTGTTGCCTTCCCCATGCACAGCCTCAGGGCTAATCTGCAGTGTCTTGCTCTGCTGCCAGACTTGTTTTCATAGTTACTGTGAAAGCCCTTCATGCAAAATGTTTCTGCTTAAATAACAACTTCAACCTCTTTTTTTTTTTTATATGTCTATTTAATTCTGGAACAACCTGAAAACAAGATTGGAAGTAATTACCACAGGGCCAGGACTTGGACTCAATGATCCTAATGGGTCCCTTCCAACTCAGTATATTCTATGATTCTATGGTTCTACTTTTACCACAAAAGTAACTACTTTGGGGGGCAAATGCTGCTGGGGAAAAAAATGGTACAAGGCAGGGCAGGTGGCCAGTGGAGACACTGGTGCAATGCCTGCCAGCAGCACATGCTGGAGGGACACTGGGCTGAGACCTGGGCATTCATTGCAGGCAAAAGGCTGAGTGTGGCCCTGGCAAGAGAGTCCCAGTAATGTGTCAGCCCCCCTCCAGTGTTTAGCACTGCAGCAGCTGTTGGATTCCTGGCTGCCATCGCTCTGGTGACACAACTGCTCTCATGGAATGGCACCAGGCTCTGGGCATGGTCCTGCACTCAGGTTTGCAACAGCACCATGGCAGCCAGCCTGGGAGCTTGCTCTGCGTGGTCCAGGAACTGCAGCTCCAGCTGGGTTCAGGATTGCAGAGAGATTTAAGAGCTGTGCCTTTCCAGAAAAACTCATTTTTGAAGCTGGGTTCAAAGCCATGTGGTGGGAAGATTTAGGACTTCCCTAAGGCAGCCTCTGGGCCAGGTGGGGGATCAGCTGTGTCCATCTTCCCCCACAGCAGGATTTGGTGGGAGGAAGCAAGTGGAGGTTGTTTTCTAACTGTTAATGAGCAGCTACATGGTCAGAGTCCAGGAGGCTGTGGTTGGGTCCTGCTTGACCTGTGGAACAGGCAGGGGGAGACAGTGTGGATGAGAACAATTTATCTTTGGATGTTTTCATGTTCTCTGCTACAGATGGGCTCAGAGCTCAGTCTCCTGGGTTAGAGGTGTTATTTCTGTCTGCTCTTGCCTGAAGAGCAGGAAGTGGTCCTGGAGCAGCCCTGGGCTTTGCTGCACAGCGCCAGCAGCTCCCACTAACTCTGGACAGCACAGATCTGAATCTGCAGACAGGGAGGAACCGGAGCAACAGGGGAAATGGCACATTTCTGGAAACAGGAATACACAGATCTTCCCTGTAAACCCTGTATCCCCTGGCAGAGCCTGCCATAGCCACAGGACCCAGTTGCAAGCAGTGCTCATGGTGCTGGGACCAGCCAGATCTGCCAAGAGCAGTTGTGTAGCAGAGCTCTGCACACAGACAGTGGGTCTTTGCCTGCCCCAGCTCCTGCTGGGAGTTGTGGCAGGGCCTTTCTATTCTGGAGATAACTTTTAGCTTCTTTTACATCTCTCTCTGCATGTATTTGTGGCCTGTTCAGCAGCAGTTTTTGCTCTGCCAGCTTTATGACTTCATTTCAGTTATTTCTGTGATGCCCTGGTGCATTTAGCAGCAGAATTTGGTCTCTGGCATGCCAGGCTGTGCTTCTGATCCCCTTCTAGCTTGCTGGTCCCCAGCATCTCCCCAGCCCACCCTGCACACCCCCAGCCCCTGGAGCCTATTTTTGACATAGGCTGGTTCCCAAGTGCAGCTACACGTGTTGGTCGCTGCTGTTTAATTCCTCAGCACACCTTGTAAATCTTTTCCACAAAAGTTTTACGTGCTCTGGTGTGCCAGAGCAGAATCCAGTCATTGAGTCCTGTATTAGAACTGACACTGTGCCACAGTAAGAACGAAATTATTCTCCCAGGCTCAGCTAAATCCTCAGCCCAAGCCCAGCTGCAGGGGAGGGAGAGTCAGAGCAAGTCCCTGTGTGGGCAAAGGGCATGTACAGGTTGTGGAAGAAACTGCTCAAGGAGCAGAATATGACTCAGTGTGAAGACAGGATCCAGCAGGATGTGGACACTTTGGTCAGGGTGTGTTCCCAAGGTAAGAGACATGTTCCACACAGAAACCATTTCACTGGGAATTGCAGGAAGCTGATGATGGATGTGTGTAAGGGGTGCCTCATACACAGTCGAGAACCTGCCATGGAGTCATCTGAGAGGGAGAGGGAGTGTGTATTGTTTAGCTTTCAGCTGGATGGGTCTTGTCTCAGTGGGAACAACAGTGGGAACAACACTGATTACAGAAAGCAAAGATTTCAGCAGAGCCAGCTCCGTGGCAGCTGCCTTGTTGGCTTACATGATACAGGCACTTTCAAACAGCTGCTGTCCCTTTCTAAGACGCCATCAAAGCCAGGATAGTAACCATCAGCAAAGAAATATGGAAAACTGAGGTCTCCACTCACCAAAAAAGTAAATATTGACACTGTGCATTGCTAGAGAGTCTGGATTCCATCCACCATTTCCTGAAATCCCGTGATAGATGTGTTTAGTTTATTAGTGCAAAGAAGGGGTTTCTTTTCTTGCAACACTCAGTCTGTCTCCACTGCCTCATGCTGCTCTTCCTAGCACATCTCCTCATGGTGACATCCCCTTTCCAGTGCAATCCATAACACCATGCTGGAGGCCACAGGTCTGTTCAGACTTACCGAGTCCTTTATTCTGGCGCCTTGGAAAGAGCTTGTTTAATGCAAGTTCTGTA